GCAGTTTTGAATCACCAAGACCAAGGAAGTATAATATGTAAACAAATGAGACTTTCAACAAGCAATTAACAGAAGCTAAAACCTATATCCCATTAAAAGACACAAGCTGGGGGGATGCTCAGTGGTTAAGTGTACTTGCTGCTTTTTCAGAGGACCTGAGTTCGGTTCCCAGCACCCACATTGGGCCACTCAACAAGTGCCTATAGCTCCAGTTCTGGGGGATCTGACACCCTCTTTCTTCCTCTGTGAGCACCACCTGCATGCATGTGTACATACCCACACACAGACACACAAATGTACACATAAATAAATCACTATGCCACATTATGGCTATGCCTTAAAAAACAGCCTGACTCTTTGCATCCATTTTAATGCCAAGAGCAGACCATAACTGCTGAGAACCTGTTCCTTCAGATTTCTGTCAGAGTTGTACTCTCAAACAAGGGCTCACTGTTTTGTTGAAGCTGTATATCCAGCATGAAATGGGGAAGTAAAAGTGGGATCCTCATCAGAAGAATTTTGCCCTTTCTGATTTCTAGACTAACACAAATGCACATAATCATAAAGAGATGTTATCAAGTCCTCTCATTTGCAGTGCACACAATACATGTTGTTTGCATGCTTGATGTATAAGCAAACACATACATTCACTTTAAGTATAGGGCAAGGAAAGGTCCTGAAGGATTGAGGTCATATGCCCTCAATGACTCAGTGAGTTTGTCTTTGTTATAAACAAGCTCTAAGATTAATGTTTATGGTTGCAAGATTAGGTAAAAGACATATTTCCAGAGTATATCCATATTATAAAAGGCATTCCCACACTGGGATATGTGTTTTCTCCTGCTCTTTTTAAGAACAATGGACAATTGGGGCTGGAGAGATGGCTCAGCATTTAAGAGCACTGGCTGCTCTTGCAGAGGACCAGGGTTCAATTCCCAGCACCTTCATGGCAGCTAACAACTGTCCATAACTCCAGTTCCAGGGGATCCAACACCCTCTTCTGACCTGTGGGCATTGCACAACATGGGTACACTTACATACATGCAAGCAATACACTCATACAAATCGAATAAAAATAATAATATTTTTTTTTTAAAAAAAGGATAATGGACAAACTAGGAATCCATTTGCTTCTCATGTGATGAAAACCATTGCATTAAGCCAGCACAATGGCTCAGTGGGAAAACGTGCTTGCTACCAAACCTGACAACCTGAGTTTGATCCCTGGATCCCCATATGGTGAAAGAAGAAAACTGACTCCTTGGTAGGAAGAAAACTATTACACTGTATTGTCAGGAGATGGTAGACCCTGTGAAATCACTTTTCAAGATTTTTCCACAGTCGCTGGCATTGGAGTGCTTTGGTGGCTTCAGGGCTAACAGACGAGCATCTGAAGCGAAGAGCAGAAATTCATCAGCCTCCACTGGGAAGCAATGCTCCTGGAACTGTGTCTGCAGAAAATATTCTAGCATCTTATTTTTATTATTATTATCTTTATTTTATGTGTATGCGTGTATTGCCTGCATGTATGTGAGTGTACCCGTGTCGTGCCATGCTGCGGAGGTCAGAAGAGGGCTTCAGATACCCCTGGAACTGGGTTAAGGATGGTTCATAGCCACCATGTGGGTGCTGGGAATTGAACCTGGGTCTTCTGCAAGAGCAGTCAGTGCTCTTAACTGCTGAGCCATCTCTTCAGCCCTGCATCTTTTTAATTTTTATTTTATGTGTGTGTATTGCCTGCATGTAGGTAAGTGCACCCGTGTTGTGCAATGCCCGCAGAGGACAGAAAGGCCATTGGATCCCCTGGAACTGGAGTTATGGACAGTTGTTAGCTGCCATGTGGGTGCTGGGATTTAAAGCCGGGTCTTCTACAAGAACAACCAGTGTTCTTAACCTCTGAACCATCTCTCCAGCCCCAATTCTAGCATCTTATTTAGGGATGTGTGTTCCTACATGTCACAAAAATGAAAGCTTACTTGTACAAAACACCCCAGATAATGAAAGGACAGGTGTCATTATACAAGAATGATCACTGGGCTGATGAATTGGCTTAGTGGGTAAAGATACTTGCCACCCAACCTGATGATCTGAGTTTGATTCCCAGAACCTATGTGGTGAAAGGAGAGAACTGACTTCTGCAAGTTGTTCTCTGACCTCCACATCCCCCATTACTGATTCAGGGAGCAAAGAAATCACTGCTTCTTAAGGAAAGTGTCCTGGAATCTTTGGAACCCTTGTAACTTTCCAAGGTATAACAACATACTGTTCAGGATCCTCCTCTACAGTTCTCACAAGAGGTGTGGTGTGTTTTGTATAGACGACAGGCTGTTGCTGCAGTACATTGTTCCAGCAGCTTCCCTCCATGCCTCCCTCCCTTCCTGTTAGTCTTGTTTGTTTATTTTTGGATGATTTTAGACACATTTTCCTGTCTAAGAAGGTTAAGCTGTTTATGGAGGAAAATAACCTTCATACTTTTATAAGCTTCTTATTCTCCCAGCAGCTTAAGATCACAGCATGTAAATTCTGGAAGCCCATGCATACTTACACATACCCCTATAGGATTAACTTTTTCCACATAATTCTCCAGCCTATGTTGTTAATGCTTCAGTATTAAACTTCTGTCTGCCCTGGGTACCAGGAGTCCTTGCCGTCCTTTCTCCACTGTTCGATTCTATGGAATCACAGCCTTAAAAGTTTCAAAGTTCAGACCAGGCATGGTGGCACACACCTTTAGTGCCAGCACTCAGGAGGCAGAGGCAGGTGGATTTCTGTGATTTCCAGGGCTATATAGTGAGACCCTGTCTCAGAAAACAAGACAAACAAATAAAAGCAAAGCAAAATAAGAAGTCTAAAAGTTCAACAAAGGTCCAACAAAGTATTTTGTGTAGAACTACTAAATTTTGTTAATAATTTTTGTCTGTTTTCTAACTTGTTTCTTCCTTTTTGTTACTGGAATCCAGATGTGAAAGCAATTTACCAAGCTTAGAGATTCAGATATAAGTGATCACTAAATATATCATATTAATCATTTTGAAAACAGTCATTGTGTTTTCATACCCATTCTCCAAAGATGCCATTCTGATGTGTGAGAATGCTGCATTTTCTACCACTGTAGTAATTTAATACCACTGTATTTACTAAACTTACCTTAAATCCACTTGTTGGGCTGTCTGTCACTTGCCCTTGGCCTCGGCTGGCCCCTCATTCTCTGGTTCTTTCAGGTTTGACCTGCCAGCCTGCCAGTCTTTCTCTTCCTGCCTGGTCCTTCCCAGCCCTTCCTTGATGGTGTCAGTCCCTCAGTATCTCTCCTACCCTTATCCAGCCAGGGGACCCAGAAATGGGTTCCTACAGCCCTCCTTCCTTCAGGTGTGACAGGCATTTTCTTTTGCTTTCAGAGTTCTTTGTTGCTCATCTTATTCTCTTGCCAAAGCCAGCAGTTTTTTTCTCTTCTGATCTCATAGTGGAAGGGTAACATATTTACAAACATCCTGCACACATCTTAAGTGTGTGTACGTATGTAGCCGGCATCCAGATATTATTAGTACCGTGGACCGTCCAACCTGAGCATCCCTTCTAGGTACAGTCTCTCCCTAGGCACACCTCTGTCTTAAATTCTAACAACATGATTAATTTCAGCTGTTCTTCTCTTTAACTTTGCATAAAGTTAATTGCATAGCACATACAGATTCTTCTTCAGTCTAGCTGTCTGATAACTGTAAGTAGAGTTTTTTTATTGCTATATAGTACTCCATCCCTGATCAGACCACAATTCATTATTCATTCTACTGTTGATCGTTACATAAGTGGCTTAGCATGGCTGTGAGTAGCTCACGGTGAAGGCTCTCATTTGTGAGTGTGTCTGCAGAGGCTCATGTTGGCACATTTTTGTTTGGTGTTTGTATCTAACAATTACAGGGTCATGGGGTATGTAGTAGGCTTCTAAAGTGATTGTCTGGTTTGCACTTCTGTGAGAAGTCCTCACCAATGCTTGTGTGTTCTGCTGTGTTAGTTTTAGCCATTGGGGTATGTACAGAGCGTATCACATCATAGTTTGACTTCCCTGTCCCTGATCGCCTGTGAGGCTTAGCAGATTTTCAAGTCTTGTGGCCTTTTGGATATCTTCCTCTGTGTGCTTCTGTTGGAACTTATTTTTCTCATTTTATTTTATTTTATTTTATTATTTTATGTGTATGAGTTTTATGCGTGCTTGTATGCAAGCGCACCTGTGTCATGCAATGCCTGAGGAGGACAGAAGAGGGCATTGGATCCCCTGGAACTAGAGTTACAGATGGTTGTTAACCACCATGTGGGTACTGGGAATTGAACCCAGGTCTTCTGTAAGAATACCCAGTGCTCTTAACCTCTGAGTCATCTCTCCAGCCCCTACTTTTCCCTTTTTAAAAATTGGGTTTGAAAATTCTTTTGGCTAGCTGGGCTGTCGTATTCTAACAAATCATTTGCCCTTCCCTCTCCCTTGATCACTTTTCTTTTTTTTTTTTTTTTCTTTCCTCAGCTCTCCCTCAGCTATTATTTTGTAACACATGAATTCTTGGGCCTAGTAGCTGAGTCTTCTAGAACTCTTCTAGATTTTAGTGAATTTGCATGAAACTTTATTTGGAAAAGTTGGTATCTAAGCTGGAAGATGATGTGATTCTTCCAAGCAGGAGACAGTAAATACTGAGCCTCCTGCTTTTCTGCCTGTTGGATTGTATAATTAGCTCTCTGTTTTAGTCTCATTTAAATTTGTGCTACATTTATCTGTGTGTGTGTGTGTGTGTGTGTGTGTGTGCGCACACAAACAATTTGTAGTAGTCAGTTTTCCCCTTCCACCATGTGGTTCCTAGGGATTGACTTAGGTTGCCAGGCTTGACCACAGCATCTTTACCCACTGAGACATCTCACTGGCCTTTATTTTTAACAAATGCTTATTAGAAACAAAAATCTCTTAATACATATTTAAAACCTGCAGTCTCCTTTCTAAAATTGTAACTGTTTTGCAGGTTCTTGATCAATATGAACGGGATGGATTTAATTTCCTAGCGAAGGTGTTTAATTCCTCACATTCCTTCTTAGAAGACTTGACTGGCCTCACATTGCTCCATCAAGAGACTCAAGCTGCTGAGGTAAGAGTGGGACCAACAGCCTCTCTGTTCTGGGGACTGATGTGTGTAATCTGTGAAAAGGGAGAGAGCAGTTAATTTTGACATTGTTTTTTTCTGAGACATCACTGGGTAGGCCTGCCAGTTATCAGAGACAAACCCTCGTGTGTTCAGGTCACTGTCTTATAGGTGGCCAGTGTCCAGGGTCGGTGCTAAGAAAGGCATTGATTTCTGAAGACTGCTTTTCCTTACATAAGATCTATATGAGTATAACCATTGGAGAACTGTTTCTAGTGACTGTTGACACACAGGTCAGGAAGACCTTGGGCTCTGGCCATGTCTTCAGAGAAAATATGACCAGTTTCAGTCCACAGTCTGACCTCTCTTAGGTGCCGGAGCTGCTGTGAACTGGCCCCTGCCAGCTATCCTGCTGGTCCCCACCTAGTGCTTCTCAGGTCTTAACTGCCTGGATCACTGTATGACTTTTTCTGACTTTGAAAAATAGCTGTTCATTTTCCAAATCTCACTGTTCTTAAAAAAGGAATTCCACATGGAGTGGGGGCACTATTAGGGTCACCAGACAGAAGGTACAGTTCCTCAAATGGGTGACCGAATGTGGGATCAGTGGCACATCACAGAGTATCCTCTCCTCTCTGAAGAGGTTGTTAAGTGAACTGAGCCATGATGGCTCCTCCATGGCTGTACAGGGAAGCCCTTGATGTCCCATGTCCTGCAGCTTGGCACAGTGCTGAAGTGCATCTACATTGATAATGTGCATCCTCACTATTGAGGAGGCCCCAAGTGGTCAGGGGGTGGCCAGCCTGGACCAGTCCTGGACCAGCCAGTGGAACAAGGCTTCTGCTTGGAGGGTGGATCAAGCACTGAGTAGAAGATACCCCACAGAAACACCGGAGTCAAACTCCTTAGACTTGAGCAAATTAGGTCACACCAAGGAAACAAGGGCCATCCCTAGCATGGGCATGGAACTGAAAGCAACTCCTCTCTGACTTGCTTGGGTGTCCATCTTTCACTGATGGCTGGTTGTTAGAGTCCAGGGAATCTCTCATTTTTAGTGCTACAAGGTGAAAAGCATCTCTGGAGAATTTTGAGAGACCCAGCTGGTCCCTTAGAACTGAGACTGGGTTCCCAGGCCAGTTTCAGAAGCTTGTGCTGATGGTGACTGCCATTGTGTGATGGTGCAGGAGGAGGAACTGCAGGTCTTTGCAGTCCCATGGTCTTTGATGTGCAGTCACAGAGCTCTTATGTGTGGTCATGGAGCTCCCACTTCCCTTCCTGGAGACAGACACCAGCTGCTGTTTCTTGCCTTCGCCCTTCAGTGAACACTGTTTATTTGATGCTTTCCAGTGGCCAGTGGATCTGTAGCCTTTAACTTAGAAAAGGGTCGATATTCTCCTCAAAAAACTGTGAATAGAGTATTTTTTTTTTCTTGGTCTTTTTGAGACAGGGTCTCCCTGTAGCCCTAGCTACAGGAACTCACTATGTCCTGGAACTCACTATGTAGACCAGGCTGGCCTTGAACTCACAGAGATCCGCCTGCTTCTGCCTCCAAAGTGCTGGGACTAAAGGCATGTGCCACCATGCCCGGCGTGAATAGGGCTTTAAGAGAAGCAGCTCAGGAACTCATAGCAGCAAAAATCATCGTCCCACCTGTGTCATGTTATTACTGTGGAAAAAAGTGTCTGCCTATAAGCAGAATGAATATGTATTCCAGAGAATGGTGGTAGAGCACTTTCCTAGCATGTGGGAAGCCCAAGGCCCAGTTTCCTAGGACTAGGGGAATACATAAACACACACACACACACACACACACTCACTCACTCACTCACTCACTCACTCACTCACTCACTCACTCTAAAACCATTACTTATACCAGACTTGTACATACACCTGTAATCCTAGCACTCTGGATGAGGAGGCAGGAGGATCAAGAGTTCAAGGTCATCCTCATCTACATAATGAGTTCGAGGCCATCATGGACTACATGAGACCCTGCCTCATAATACAAAACAGAACAAAAACGTCTGTCTATGTAACAATAGCGTTTTGGCCAAGCGCGGTAGCACATACTTTAATCTCAGGACTTGGGAGGCAGAGGCAGGCCGATCTTGAGGCCAGCCTGGTCTGCATAACGAGTTCCAGACTAGCCGGGACTACATAGTGACACCTTGCCACACAAAAAAGAATAGTATTTTGATTTTCTTATTTCCAGTGAATTTATATGTGATCAGTATAAAAATACAAAATTCTACATTTTTATGTAACCCAGTCAAGACAATAAATTACTTCTCATTTTGGATTAACTGTTTTCATTAATCAGCAGTAGGCATTGAAAAAGATTCAACAAGGTAGTTCTACATATTCACCATATATATTATTTATAAAATAATTTTTAAAAATATGTGTGGTGCTGGAGGTCAAACTAAGGACCTCATGCACATGGGGGTGTGTGGGTGTGTATACATAATTTTGAAAAAATTACAGAGCATCTTTTGAGAGTCAGATGCCAGGCACCATGCCAGTTTACCAGATCAGCAGTTAATGAGACAGAGATGCTCATGTCCATTGTGACAAGCAGAGATGTCAGCAGTGCTCTGCAATGTCACCAAAAGTGCTTAGTCATTTAATAACAAGTTCTGAGAGAGATATCGTGAGTGAATGCCTTAGGGAGCAGGGGTGTCAAGGAAAGCCTTGTGGAAGACAACAAATGCTCCCTTTAATTTTAAAAGATGAGAGGCTGCTTTCATAAATGAAAGCTGGATTTGGTCATTGAAAGGCTGGGGAGGGAAGGAGCAGAGCCCTGGGCCTTCCCAAGTTACAGTTCACTTACCACAAAGCTCATCCTGTTTTGCAAGTGGCAACTCAGTAGTTTTTAAGTTTACCCAGAGCAGTGCTGCTGTTGCCCTTGTTGTACATTGTCAACATCCCCAGAAGCAAATGCCATGCCCTTTATGGGTAACTCCCCTTTCCCCCTCCTTCCAACCCTGAACAAGCACTCATTTACCTTCTTCCAAAACCAAACAAGCAGTCACCTACTTTCTGTCTCCGTGAGTTTACAGTTCTGGACGTGTCTGATGTGTTAAAGTTCCCCATACCTTTTGGTACCTGTGGTCTATCTCCTCCAGATACAGGGAGAATGCCAAGCTGGTCATCCCAGAGCCAGTAAGTCCCTGTGTTTCCACAGAAAGGGCCCCAGTGATTAGAAGATACATCCGAAGCAGGGTCATCTACATGGAGTGGGATTCACTAATGCAACCCTAGTGTTTGTGCCTGCTGCCCTTCACCCTCATGTGTCTAAAAGGAATTGCAGTAGGTTCATCCTATGCTGCTATGGAAATCCAAAGGCAACTTGCTGAGGTATGGGTGGGTAAGGAACACAGTGCATATGGGATCTGGGGAAGATGCTTTGTTTGGGGTGATGACAGAGTGAGTGACAATAACTGGGTGTTACTGGATAAAACTTGGAGGGAAAGTCACAGGACATGGTCAGAAAGAGTTACTCTCTCTGTTTACTGCAATGAGGAGAGGCTGCAGAGCTAGGGTTCAATCTAAATATTCTTAATGTGTATGTGTTGTGGATTAATTGTACATTAAAAACGTTGGAAAGAACTCATCACAGAAAGGTCATTTGCCTTTTCTTATATTTTATCATAAAGAAGGGGCCTTGAATAGATATCAGCATTCTTTGAAAGCCCATCCAGTTGCAAAATTGTGGTTCCATTGTGGTTCCAGCCTGCCTGTGGGATGTTAGAAAGGCACTGTGGAGGAAAGGCCCCACTTTGCTTCCCATACTCTTAAAATATGGCCACATGCAAGAGGACACTTTGACCCTTTACCTGCGAGACCCGGCTCGCTGAAAATGGGCCGACTGTTGGAGCTTGGCCCTGATGCTGTACTCCTCCTAGGTCTCTGTCCCTGCAGCTGGAGGACATGGCCTGAAAGCTAATGAACCACAATGTCCCAGTTTACTGTTCTATTGAGAAGCGCACCTGATTGTATTTTAAATTGATGGATTTGTTAAGGACAATCTCAGTCTAAATAGATTCAGTGCTGTATGCAAGTACTTTAACCACATTTTATAAAAGTTGCTCTGACTTAGCCTCTTAGGGTTATTTCTCATCCCAGGATAGAGTATCAATTTCTATGTGTTTATTTCGTCCAAACTGTGGCTTCAGCATCTCGTTGTGAGACTTGCCAAGATATTTCCCAGCTCCATGTAACTAAAGAGAAAAGGCTGACTCCCAAGAGAGCTGCTGACTCAAGCCGTGCTGATCTATCCTTCAGAGATTGAATTCCCAGATCCCGTAACCCAGCTTTTCTCAACCTCTTCCTGGTTTTCAGAGATTAGCTTCTAGGACTAACTTGAGGCTGTTCTGCCCCTCTGCCCTGGCATCTTGTCAACATTTGATGTTGCTCGGTGCCCTCGGCAGTGCATGTGCTCATGATGTTGCAAATTTTGGTGAAATGGTGTGTTTTCTGCAGATTTGGGGATCAGTAAGTGGTTGACAAGAGTTGAGCACAAATGATAACAGAGGCTGCAGCCACACAGGCCTTCACCGACAGGTGGATCCTGAAGTGAGAGTCAGACTATGATTCATCTGCTGCAGAATTCTAGAGGTAGAATGCCCATTGCTCTTACCTCAAAGCCATGTGAGGAGCCTGGCACATGGCACAACTTCATGGACACAGACTTGCTATCTGGCAAAGCCAATAACACAGTTAACAAGTGTTTCTGCTGGGCCTTTTGCATTCACCCCAAATATTTGGCCTCTTGCCCTCACAGCTGCTTTTGATTAGGTTCCTGTGGATTTTTTTGTTTTGTATTTAACAGTCAGATATTTATATACAGCTTCATCAAGAGCCTCCGATGACAAATATGCCTTTGGAGGCCCATGGAAGCTGTGGGAAACCCCCATGTCAGCACCCAGACTTGTTTGCAATGGAGCAGGCTCGCTCTGGGAACTGACAGAGCCTGTTCATGCATATAATCCTTCTCCCCTGTGCTG